GTGTGTGTGTGTGTGTGTGTGTGTGTGTGTGTGTGTGTGTGTGTGTGGAGAGAAAATGGAAGGGAGGGAGAGAGGAAAGATGTAATAGGGTACAGAGGGGAGAGGCAGGGGGAAGGGAAGGATGGAGGGGGGGGGGTGCTATAAAAGATGCCTGGTCCCTGCTTGAATAAGGGAGTCCCATTGTACCGGTCACCGGCTGTTTGATGAACACACACTTGGCATTTTCTGTGTGTAAGAGCATGATGACAATGTACGAGAGCGAGCGGTAAAAAAGCTAAAATGCCTTTTTAATTTGGTAATAGAATTGAATCAAAATGTGTGTGATCATCTGCCATTTTCCACTGAGCTGATCCTGTTGTCACAGAGCTGTTAGACTGTAGACACACAGTCACTCCCTTGGAGCCGATGGCCAGGGAGGCTAAATTCAAGCAATTCCCCAGACAGGATATCATGTAACGATGACTTCTGCTAGATTTGTGTTCTGCAGTCAACCTCCTGGTTTTTATTGCTACTTGTGGCCACAGATGTTAATATGATCAGGAGGATACTAAAACTGTATAGCTGCAGTTTTGATATCACATTACCTACATCGACAAAATGAGTTATCTTGCTTTCATTCTGCATGTGAAATCCAGTGACGCCCCCCCCCAATTGTACGTTACTGAGCAACTGACTCCCAGGAGGCTGGTTTGTAGCATCATAGATGAAAGATTCAAACCAAAATATATAGAGGCAGAAGAAATACTAGTGCCAGAGTGTGTGCGTTTCTCAAAGGTGAGGGTTGTGTAATGCAAAGTTTGTTTGATCTTTGGAGTGAAATGTTATTTTCTGTGTATGTGTGTGGTAATTAGGAGACAATAATTGAGAGTGACAATGAAGTCCTTGAGCTCATGGGGAGAGTGGATGAAGGAGTTGAAGAGTTCTTCACCAAGAGAGTGCTTCCTACTGATACACCGTGAGTATCAACAGCTGCCCAATTTGCCTCTTTATAGTCCCTTGACTCTATCTGCTTTAATACACTAGAATTTAATGCACACAGTATTGGTTTGATATACAGTATATGATCCTTAATATAGGGAAAAGCAAGATGAGGAATCTATCACAGAGCACGAAGTGGCCCCTGCCAGCTCTGTCCCCTGTCCACCCCCGACGAAAACCCTCAGGAGGAAGCTCGGTGATTTCTTTACACTCAAAAAGAGACGAGGTCTGAAATCAGAAACAAGCCAGGAGGGGCGACCCAAAAAGACCTCCATCGCCGATCTCATTCGTCCGCTCAGGGAGGTCACCAGAGCTGAGAAAGAAAAGGACAAGGACCGAGTCAAGGAACAGGACAAGGAAAATGAAAAGGAGAAAGCGAAAGAACATCCCGGTGCTGTGACTGGAGAGTCGGCTGTTCAGGAGACACCTGGTGCTCAGCTGAGGGGTGAAGTGGTGCCTCCCCGACGAGCTCTCAGAGAGGGGAAGTCCCAGTCTCTCATTTTGCTGTCTGGATCAGCAGCTGCAGGGACTACTAATGCCAGAAACACTTCAAAGGTGGGTGCTAGTAGAGTTAACGTCATACATACATTCAGATCAGTATAGATTTGTTTTGAAAAGCACTCACAACGCTGCTGTTGCTCATTTCAGAAACAGCTCGAAGGCCAACATAGCTTTGAACAGAAACTCCATCTCATGCTTCAACGTATTGGAGTTTCCAAAGCCCAGCCAGGAGAGACACAGGTGTGTGAATGTGTATGTCTACATTTACAGATGTATACTGTAGGAGTCTGCAAAAGTGTTTAAATGCTTCTTTTATTTTTGTAGAATCAGGAGGGAGAGATGAAAAAAGCAGAGTCCGAAGGTATGTCCCTTTATCTATTTGATGTTTGATATGATTAAACTGCTCTCTGCTCCAGCTTAGTGTTAATGAATCAGAATTAATCTTTGTATGGATTTGTATCAAAAGGAGAGACTTTTTAACACGGTTCACTTCTTTATTAAATATATTTAATATCTCTTTGGGCTGATAAGACTGATCTCCATCCGATATAGTAACATAATAGTGCATTCATTATTCTGGTAAATGATCCTTGTGTCTTAGGTACTATCATTGACAGCAAACCTGAGCCACCACCTACTTTCACAAAACCTCGAACGATGTCTGCATCCTCAGGTAGAGCACAAACACTGACTGACTCTCTCATACAGTATGTGTATGACAGGCTAAATAATTTGCACATTCAAATTTTTTTTCTGTAGATACAAGGCATCAAATTCGCCCAAGCGTGTCAGCACACGAGTCAGCCGGGAAACCCGCTTTGCTTCCAAAGCCTGTTATTAAACTGGGTCCACCCCGCTCAACATCTGGCCGCAACACACCTGAGAATGAGTTAGCCCAAATACAAGAAGGGGAGACAAACACACCCACTAAACTGAGTCCCACTGCAGCTCCATCTACCCCTGCTGCTCCTGCACTCACTGCTACCACCACTCCTACCGTACCGACAATCTCAAACTCAGTCCCTGACTCAACCGGTTTTACAAGTACTGTACCTCCCTCTGACTCAGATATATTCACCGACTCTGTTAACGCCACAGCAGCAGCGACAACACCCACCAATGTTACAAAGCTCGACAGCGAACCTTCTATCCTTGAAGCTAATGCTACTATCCCTGAACTACCCACCTCCACCTTTCCGACAACCCTTACAAGCACTGCTACACCCACCGAGCCCCCCGCCACTGTTTCAGTTACTTCCGCTTCCTCTGAGTCCATCACTCCAAGCCTCCCTGTCACTTCCAACCCAACAACAATAACAACGCCTTCCATTACCACCTCGGAAACTGTTTCTGCTCCCAGCAATGGAAGCTCAGTTTCCACAACATCAACAAATCTGTCAACTAAATCGACTTTCCCGGAGCCAACTGGCGTTCTCTCTGTCGATGCCACTCCTGCTGCTGGTGGTGATGCAGCTATTTCTGTCATCATCACAGCTTCTTCACCCTCCACCAGCATATCAGAGATGCCCCCAGGCGTGTCTGCCACTATCACTTCAGTCACTGAAGCTTGTGAGGATCCCACTTCAGTCACCGCCACTAGCTCTATAACTTTAGTTTCATCAGTCACTAAAACGAAATCTCCACCTCCTAACTCAAGTCATGACATTACAACTGCAGTGTCACCCGTCACCTCCATTACCTCCTCCTCCACCCTGATCTCTTCTGCCCTTCCTCCCCCCATCTCAACCTCCTCCACCATCATTACAAGCCCAACATCCACCGACTGCATGAACTCTATCTCTACTTCCACCGTTACTCACCCAGCCCTCCCTAGCCCTGCTGAAATATCTGTTCCCTCCACTTCTTCCAGTGAAACAAACCCCACAGACACCCCCTCCACCGCCTCCAGTTTAAAGCATGCAGATACCACTTCCACTACCAGTTCAGCTACCGCTGCTGCAATTTGCTCCCCACTCATGACTGACTCAGACCCACCTTACACTTACAACGTCAGCACTACCCTCACACCAACTATTGATAACTCAAGTGCTACTACTCATTTGACCAGTCCAGCCCCCTCTCATGATAATCCCGGTCAAGATTTGCAGACATCTCCTGAAGAAAGATCCAATGTAGAGCCAGCAGAAATGGGCACAGGTAGGTTTTGAGTTCTGTGAGTGTGTCTTGTATGTAACTCTCTGCTTTAACATGTGTGTAGATGTGTGTTGAATGCTGTTTTTTTTGCGATTTTCGTCTCTCAACAGCAGATGAGAAGCTTGAGAAGGTTAAAAAAAGCAAGCAAACTGAGATGGACGAGAGCAAGAAGGTCGTCGACGGTGGGAAAGAGAGCAAGAAGGAAAACGAGAAACCAGCTCTCACTTCCAACAGTGAAGTTATAATTAAAGAAGTGCAGGAAGAAAGTGTGAAACCCGAAGAAGATGCAATTAAATCAGAAGTGGGAATGGCTGAACCTGCATCAAGGAAAGATGGTGAGCTGTGCAGGAACAAGGGGGAGATAGAAGGTCAAAAACAAGGAGAGGGTGAGGAGTAACTCAAAAATAAAGAAATTGCTAAACACGGGACCAACTACTGTGACAGGGGCAGGAGAGGCCACAGTAAATGGTAAAGGGGGGAGGGGGAGACGATCCATGGCACTTCCTACAGGGACCACCACATTTCAGCAGCACACCACAAAGGGTGGGCCACTGGACCAAAGAACTGAGATCCCCTTGGTGTGATGTAATCAACAAATCCAGCAGTGTCTTTGTCCTTTTTTAACTTATGTTTGAATTTTTTGCATTGCACGTATCATTATGTACCATAAGACAACTACTGTGGTAAAATACACCATGTTTACGATAGATGGATAAGAGACATAGTTATGAATATTAAATGGAATATTGAATTAACTGACCCTTTGTTTTTTTATGAGTTAATATATTTATTTCATAACAAATGATTGTATTATGACAAGAAAATCTTAAATCGAGATACACTTGCTAGCTATTTCAGGAGCCCACGGTATTCCTCGTTTGCCATGGAGATAGCTCCGTTGTTATCGCAGTTGGTTGTCATTGTCTCGGTTCAATAATGATCTTTGGTGCCAGAACAGCCGGAGCAAACTCCATCAGCTAAGGAGGACCATACAAGACCTTGAGTGAAGGTTTTTGTCAAACTACTGTTCCAAAAGTCAAGAATGAACTTTCATGCTGAAATTAATTTAAGCCTTCTGGATTTAAAATGTTAATACACATACATCCATCATATTACATATATTTGTAATGGACCAGGCAGAATATATATTTATATAAAATAATTAGAAATCACAGGCTACACAACTGGGGAAGTATAGCACTCGAGGTTAAACTGTATTTCTTCATTTCATTCTCATGCTGGTACTGTAAAACAATTGTCAGGCAGTTTTCAAATTAATTCTAAAGTCTTATTTAGTTTTACTTTGCAGCACTGCTGTATATTATGTATGCACACAGCGGAGCTTACTTAACTAAATTCTGAAATGGAGGTCACATTTTTATCCAAACCAAATGCTCTTTATGGTAATGTGCAGGTGTATCAGCAACTCAAATACTTCCAAAAAGTTACAATATATTTCCTGTGTCTAATATTGCCTATGAAGACAGCTGGCCAAATGTAGAACAGGATGTAATGAAGGGGATCCTCCGTTCACAACAGCTGGAGGAGTAATAAAGAGTATTTTGGGCCTCATTCACAAAATGTTTCTTAAATTCAACTTGTGTTTTTGAGCAAAGTGTGGAAATCATAATAATGTTCTACCTCTTGATCTCGCACAAATGCTTAGGTATAGCTGAACATGCGGAAAGGATTTTTGGGTGTACAGTTGTCTGATGATAGGCAGACGCCCTGGAGACCTGCTGAGAGAGAGTGAGGAGTGTAAACAGTTTAAGCACAGGGAGCTTTCTTTGAGGTGTGCTTAATGTACAAAGTCAAAAAAACAGAGAACCTTTCCTCCCTAAACGCTACGTTTACACAACAAATTATGCATGTTCTTTGTTTTGGATGAAGATGTTCAAGCAGTTTTGATTCAGATTCAGAAGTAGAAGAAGAAAAAGAAAGGTTCATCATCCCCACCAGCAGGTGTCGCTGTCGGCGACATCGCCCAGAAAGCCGCACTTCACCCGGAAGAGGAGGACCGAGGGAAACGACGGCAGAGGGATTGTTGTAGACTGTCCACACAAGTGTGAAGAGTTTCTTTTGCTATTTAGATAATCCAGCGAGTTACGAAACAACTACTACCCGAGGTACATTCGCAGGAGGATTCAGCCTCGTCGTGCACACGTTAGAGATGTCGGTCGCGCCTCCCTGTCGCTCGGCCGCCGGCTGGCCGCGCAGTGGCGCCGTTCAGTTTGGGAACAAATACAACAGCGGGCCTGCTAAAGCGCTCTCACTGGAGAGGACCATCAACCTGTGAGTTCATGTGCCGCAGAAAGTAATGCAGCTCGCATCAATATCAAAGAGTGCTCGTTAGTTAACGAAGACCGACGGGAAATTCTTAACTGACTTAATTAGTTTATTATGTGTCGGTAATTTAGCGCCAAACATCCCGATCGCATCAAATAACACTGTGTTTCACACAATACATCAGAGTCCCCGATGTGGCCATGTCGTGGACTTGGATGTGGTTGCTTTTCAAGAATTTTCCAAAAATATTGGTCTGAATATTAAATGTATAATATCAAATATTTAAAAAAAAACAACAACACACGTTTCAGCTTCTCACGTGGGAATATCTGCTGGTTTCCTTTGTCTGCTATTATATTTAACTAAATAGATTTGGCTCCTGGGCAAAATAGGCAATTTATATGCCAGTCCTTGCATTGTGAGTTTGTGATACGTATTTTTTAAATTAGTATTTACTTTACATATTTGCATTTTAATGTCCCAACGATACATTTGAGAAAACAGCTCGTTCAAACTAAGGAAACCAGTAAATATTCACATTTCAGAAGCTGGAGTCGATACCAGTAATCTGTTATCAAAATGTTTGCTGATTTAAAGTTACAATAAAGCATTCAAATCATAAAAAATATTGAATTTAAGACTTCAAGATCATACTAACTATGGCAGCCAAATATAACTAGTCTAATCTTCACAGCTGAAACAATTAGTAGTTGTAAAGAAAATGTATCTGCAGTAAATTTGATAATTTGTTTGTCATTCTGTAAATTGAGGATTTGCTTCTTTTCTCTGTTTTATTTGAATTAAAATCTAATTAGTTTTGGTTTGAAAAAAAGAAGCAATTTGAAGATTCTTTGGGTCTCCGGGAGATAAATTGTGCAGATTTCACTATTCTCTGACATATTGTGAATTTTAAAAACAACCAGTTCATCCAAAAAAAAGCAATAGATGGTTTAATCAATAATTGTAAATAATTATTTGTTGCAGCCCTAGATTAAAATTGTGGTATTAAAGACTATATCCCAGCTTTTTGTAGCATGTAGGTACGAACCACACTGTGTTGATCTCTGGTCATGCTTAATGACTTCATGTGTGTGTTTGTACTTCAGATACCCTCTTACCAACTACACGTTCGGCACCAAGGAGCCTCTGTATGAGAAGGACAGCTCGGTGGCTGCCCGGTTCCAGCGGATGCGGGAAGAGTTTGATAAAATGGGAATGCGGAGGACCGTGGAGGGTGTTCTCATTGTCCATGAACACAGGCTGCCTCATGTGTTACTGCTGCAGCTGGGCACCACTTTCTTCAAACTGTGAGTAGATGATGTTCAGAGGCTCCTGCATGAAGCAGCAGAAGTGTTGTTGTTTTTTTTTTGTTTTTTTTTTACTGAACTGACGGTTTGCTTCTCTCCTGCAGGCCTGGGGGAGAGTTGAGTCCTGGAGAAGATGAGGTGGAGGGTCTGAAACGCCTGATGACTGAGGTAGCTACATCACTGCACAGTCTAAGCTTCTTGTTGCTGCGGGGATTGTGGAGTTTACACATATTAAATTTTGTTTTGATGTTAGATCCTTGGAAGGCAAGATGGCGTGAAGCAGGAGTGGTCGATTGACGACTGTATCGGCAACTGGTGGCGTCCAAACTTTGAGCCTCCACAGGTTAGTGCACACATATGACGATGAGGATTTAATTAATTGCAGGAACAATTTTCATAGATGATATTTCCAATGTTTTAATGGAAAGCAGTGTAGCATTAACTGATCAGTGCTGATTTAGCAGCTTCACAAATCCAGGCTGATGTCGCTGTTGTCAATCAGTCATGATGTAGTTTACATCCGTGTGTACTAATGTGAGCTGATCCAAAGATGTTTGTCTTGCAGTATCCCTATATTCCAGCTCACATCACCAAACCCAAGGAGCATAAGAAGCTATTCCTGGTTCAGTTGCAGGAAAAGGGTCAGTACATCACAACATAACGTGTGAAGTTATTGCATGTTAGCGTCGACGTTTAGTAGAGAATAAAAGTAGAGGAGACTCATGGATAAAAGTTCCATTGTATCATTGCTGCTTGTTTGGTAACCTGTGATTCCTGTTTTTTTACAGCGCTGTTTGCTGTCCCCAAGAACTATAAACTGGTGGCAGCACCTTTGTTTGAACTGTATGACAACGCTCCTGGATATGGGCCAATCATTTCCAGTCTACCACAGCTATTGAGCAGGTATAGTTTATGTCATTGTGGAACTAGCCTGAATTGAGACACTTGTTTTTTTCTTTTCTTTCTGTTGACTGTCACTGGCTCAATTTAAAAACAGGCTGGAATCAAAGATCATCACATGAGTCGTCTGTATCAAGAATCTGCTATGTACAACTGCTGACAAAACCTGTATGACCTGTAACTTTTCTAACTAATCAATCGGCTTGTATCGTTCATGTTTGAAATGTAACATAATAAACGTTTTATCAACACCAATTAACACAGTGAAAGCACAATGGATATAGAGACTGCTACAGAGCTTTTTAAATGGTATCAATCCTTCTGAAGTATCTGAAGACAACACCGAAGACTGCACCACAGCTCATTTATACAAGCCAGGAAGGAAAAGGAGACGTATAACTGTACACAAGATATTTGCATAAATGAGCCCCTCATATCTACAAAGGGAGCAGGTCCTCTTTATGGAGTCCCATGTTTCTACATTAGCCCAGAACAGACAAACCAAACACTGGCGTTTTTACGTTACCCAAAGGCCACCGTAGTTCTCTGACACGCGCTCGAAACTGCGTAAACCTGAGCCGGAGAGTGCAAAACCAGGTACCAGCAGCAGCCGTCTCACTTCCGTTGCTCCTAAAGTGGAGTCATTGTGGTAAGGATGGCCTCTGAGTAAGGCGAACAACGTTGCCACTGTTTTGTTATTCCAGTCTGCCACTAAATCCTACACACTCCTTTTAAAGGTGCCCTGTGGAGATTACGTTCACTTGTTTCTCACCAAAACACATCGTGTATCCTTGAGATCAAACAAATGTGTTGAATGCATTATTCTTTTTCTGAGTATTTTAAATCTGGTATTTACGTTCGTTTTTACTTGTTACCAGTTTTTTGACACATTGCAAAAAATAAAACCTGCTCAAAACTTCACAGGTTACCTTTTAACAGAGAAGAAACTAAAAATACAAAATAAGACACAAAATGTCATTGCCACTATTGTGTAAATCATCTCTTAACAATAACTGAATCTTTAATAATTATATTTTTATAGGTTCAACTTCATTTACAACTAACTTGAGTGAACAGAAGTACGTCTCGCTGTCTCTCTGAGTGAAGATGAGACAGTGTGGAGAAAAAAATACTTCTCATCTTTAGCTCAACTTTCACAAAAGAAAAGCTCGTCATGTATTTTGACAGGTCACAGGGGTGTTTATACTGTTAGAAGAGAATGGAAATTGTCATGCGTCTTTTTTTATATTGAGAAACTGCTTGTTTTGTAGTATGCAAGTCTGTATTCCGGTGCGTATTAAGAATCTGATTTTATGTTCACACAGGAGGCCAATGTTTGATTAAACAAACTACATTATTGCGTTTCCTGTTATTTTAACCTGTAACAATGCTGTTTTTTTTCTTTTTAATAAAGCAGTCCTTTGAATATGGTTTTATAAAGCTTTTGCTTATTTCTTCATATTGCCAAATTATTTCAGCATGAGTCACTACTGGAGCTCATGAGGCTCAGATGTTAGCATCCTAATAGATTAGGCAAAATGAATGTTTGACTCTTTGCCTCTTAAATCTAACGCGTGTGCAGTCTACACCTTGTTGGACAGAAGAATTGGTTACTTGCTGTGTAACTGACCGCCCAAGATGCTTCATCAGTCACTTGGTTGTGTCCAGGGTTAAGGTCAGATGTGTGTTGCAACCACATACTAAGTAATGAAACATTCTACTGGCAGTGAAAGTTTCACTCATATTTTTAGAATTGTGTGGATGGACACTTTTCCATCAGCACAACACAAAAATGAATTAATATTTCAGTTAATAGAACTGACTGCTTGCCCACTTTCGAATGTGGCCTGCATGATATAATTTAACTATTCTCTAACCTGCTTATCCTGTGAAGGGTGAGCCCAGCACACACTGGTCGTCATTATACTGTCTATATTGTTAAAATCGAATTAGATTAAAACAAATCATCTTAACCATGCCCTTATAGACTTGTAATTCTTGTCAGCAGTCATTTGTATTGCTGTCTTTATGATTCTGCAACGCTGCTGACTTTGTCTGTGGGACTATTATGCACCATACAGTATGGATTAAAGTGGTCCGGTTGTCTTGCAGCGAGATGAAATAACGGACACTGAACCCAACACAAGAGAACACAAGTTAAAAGATACAGTTGGTTAAAGCACATCACATATCTTTTAAACGAAAAGTCTCATTATATTCTTAAATGCAGGCAAGCAAGGTTTCATTCAAGAATAATTGCACATTTGAACTGGGAAAAAAATATTGCATTGAAAACCAGTATTCTCCAAAAACAATCCAAATCCAACATTGTCTGTTAAACATGACAGAAGGTGGTACCAAAAATATGACACTAACAGAACAGAGGACATCTGGCCCCTCACCACATTTGCAATGCAAAAATATTTTCAGAAACATAATAAGGTATGTTCAGTATAAGAATAAGGTTTATTGCCAAGTAGGTTATTCACCTATAAGGAATTTGCCTCAGTGTTTGGTGTACACAATAAACAAAAGGAAATAAAAATACAGGCCAAGTACTGCAAGAGTCAAGAACATAGATATAGAATAGAAAAAGTAAGAAGCTGTAAAAAATACTGTAAAAATACTTAAACGAATATTAACAATATAACTGTAGTATTATCCACAATATTATCCACAAGTTATGTTGTTATTATTCAGTACCTTAAGGATGAATCATATATTTGATAGGTAACTGACCTGGTTGCTTGGAAAATCAAAAATATAACCAGTATATTTCATTTCTGGTGTTTTGCCAAATTTATGATACAATTGAGCAAATAAAGTATTTTCTGTCAGTTTGCCAATGCTTGCCTGACAGTCTGTATTCAGGGGGGAAATTCTCGCGCTTCCTACAACGTCATTTCCCCGCGTCACACGAGCCATCTCACACACGCGTCAGTAGCGTGAATGTACCGTCAAAGCTGTGTTTACCTGATTGAACACACCAGATAGTTTCTATAATGGCGTCCAGACGACGGCCGGGTGAAAGCGTCAAAACAGACATGAAGAAGAAGAAGAAGAAGAAGAAGACCACGTGTGAGGAAGCAGCGGAACTCTGTTCACTTGTAGAAGACGAGCAGGTGAAGAAGAGTGTGCAGGAGGCGTGGAGCCAGAGGACTGCCCGCAGACACGGTGAGTGAAGCAGGAAAACACGGACTTCTCTAAAGTAACGTTGCTACATCACAAAGCAAATATACCTGAGACAGGTGACCCTTTGAAGAAGTACTGCACGAAGAAAACCCAGCTGAAGGTCTGCTTAAAGATCACCAGCTGGTCATTATCTTTATTTATTTTTAGTGTTAACTCTTTATCAACTTTATCCAACTTATCAGGATACTATTTACTACAATATAAACCTTGGACCACCACATGTAAACTATCCAGTAACTATCGAAAGTAGGGACATGACAGTCTCATCACTGTTGGTTTGATATTAATGTCTTTGGTTGAATTAGATTATATTTTCCTTCTGACAGGGATGGGCGATATGTCATTTTATATTATAATAGCTATTATGATGTATTTATTTTCAGATACTGTTTATGGATAACATAACAGTACAGAGGTATTTCTGTTCTTGGCCATATTGCCGTAATAAAAACATTGATCCTCGTTGATTTGCAGCATTGTGCTTATTAATCTGATACATCCAGAGATTATTGATATAAACGATTTGGCAAAACACTGATGCTAGACACATTTATATTTTCGTGGTATAAAGTGACATATTGCCCAACCCTACCTTCTAATATGTCTAAAGACTGTATGAGTGGAGGATAATTCTTTCCCCAGTGTCATTTGATCTCATTTAACCTGAATAAATATGGATTGTGTTTTTCCAGTGAAAAGTTACCTCTGTTTGCCAGGTCCAGATATTAATTAACTTTTGTTCATGTTTTGTGGCGTTAGCATTCCCGAGCCTCTGTTTGTTTACTAGAGCCTTTCCAAAAGCAGCGGTAAGTTATTTGTCCACATTATAATTTGACAAATAACTCACAGGTTGACGTATTATCTTTTGTTATGTGCAGGAGATCTGGAGTTGGACTGCCACCCTTTCCCTCACTGCATCATCAAGAACTTCCTCAGCAGCGACACCTTCGTGGAGAACTTGCAGAGAGAACTGATGGAGCTCAACTTCCACGAGAAGTCAAATGATCTGTACAAATTTAAACAGTCAGACGACTTGAAGAAAAGAACAGAGCCACATATCTCAGGACTGAGGTAAAAAACAGCTTGTGTTTGTGTGCTTTATATGGTTATTAACATATTATTATACGTTGGTATGAGCTTCCTTTGTGGCAGAATTCGTGAGTAGAAAAGGATAGATTGTGAAAGTATGGATAACGGTTGGTCTCGGAGCAACAAGTGGAAAAAAAAAAAGGTGCTTTGAAGAGAGGAAGCTCATTCTGTCAGGTGGGACATATGCTACAAACAAGCTCATTTTTATGACGACATCACATTGACTCTATCAAGTGTGTGTCTTATTGTCTTTCAAGGATTTAAGGATCATTTATTGTCATTATGCAAAATGGATGCACGACGAAATTCAGTTGTAGCCCATTTGTATCACAACAAACACATGACGAACAAAACAAAAACATTCCTGTAGTGCATTTTTAATTTGCATCATAAGGAATGTAAACAGCTGCAACACAAACAATTCTCTGGGCAGATAATATGGCCGACATCTTCACATTAAGAGCCCACCTCCTCTCGTCCCTCCTGAGTCCTGCGCTCTGTCCTTGATCCGGGATGAACCATGGAGCCAATTAATCTTGATCAAGAGCCAAAATTAAACCAACAATTAATGGCCAATAATGCTCTACCGCCTGATCTTCAGCTGTGTTTAAAGCACATCTGACCTACTGGTATTCCATTGTAATCAATATTCCCAGCCTGACAGAATGGCTGACCAGATGATTTTATTATTTGGTCATCCTGATTTTGACTTTTTCTACTTTTTGCAAAATGAAATCATCACGATTCTTAGTCCATTTTGATTGACATCTTATTTCATATCTGACAAAGTAAGCTTTCTCAATTCAAAACACTTTTACTCAACTGATGGCTCGTCTTGAGAGACCAGCTCAAATTGTGAGGACTATTTTTTTTTTCCACTTGTTGCTGATCTCAGAGCTGTAAATCCAACAACACACACGTTGGGCGACTGTGGCTCCGTTGTAGAGCGGGACCTCCGCTAGTGCTAGTCCATGTCGTTGTGTCCTTGAGGTCCTTAACCCCACATTGCTCCTGCAAGCTGGGCCTGCAGTGTATCAATGGGTGTGAATGATTAGATAGACCTGATGGGCAGGTGGCACCTTGCATGGGAGCCCCTGCCATCAGTGTATGAATGGGTGTGAATGACTGAATGATGACAAGTAGTGTTAAAGCGCTTTGAGTGGTCGTATGACTAGAAAAGCGCTACACAAGTACAAGTCCATTTAAACATACTTTTAGCTTCTAAAACCTTTTGCTTTAAAAAAGAGTGTGTTGCTGACGCCAGTCACACAAATCCTCAACAAAGATGTATATTAATGTTTTTAGAGATTTCTTGAAGGAATTGCATATCTAGAAATCGACAGGGCAAAGCTTGTTTTTGTCTTCAGTATTGGTCTGCATTGATAAGTGTAAAGTTACAAAAAGGTTGGTTTGGAAGACATGTTTATCAGCTCCACCAGGTGGAGCCAGAGATCACATCTGCTTCCTAATTAGTGCATCTTGTTCATTTAGTGCTGTGATTCTGAGAGCAGTAACTTGAGGCATGGGAGGACTGTACAGTGAGCCCAGTGGGAAATGAACTCAGCTGCAGTTACTCACCAGTGATCTTTGTTAAAGCGGAAGGCTTGACTTTGCAGTGAACACAAGAGGAGCACACTGTACGTTATTACAGCAGTGTACATTTTTTGGGGCTTTCAGACAAATGAGTAGAAACAAAATATGTTATTGCAGAATTATGGAGCAGCAAAACCTGCCGAACCTGCCAAGACGCTCAGTGTTTGAACCAAGTCCAAGAAAAAACAAGATCAACAAGATAAATGAAGACGATATGAGCTCGGTGTCGAGTCTGAATCCTAGACGACCCCTCTGAGACTCATATTACCCAGATTGCAAAATAATACACAAACCTTTCCTTTTAAAAAATAAATAATGTGCAGTTATTTTCTTACAATTATAACAAGCAGTGTTTACTTTGAAAGACTGCAACATGTCATTTCTTCTAAATACGTATTTGTGACTACATGCACTGGGCTACACCTACTGAAGAAATACAGCCCTGGAATAAATGCCATAATTAAAACACACAACAACGGCCTCCTCTCGTGATCATCTATTATTTATGTCACAACAAAATGTCACGGTAGGTTTGAGCAGCCCAACAATCTG